TTTGACGATAAACTACATCCGCATCCTGGGTAAGACGATAAACTACGTCCAGCAGCAAGGCCTCTGATCAGCAGGTTTTGAGGAGCGTGGAACCACCAGTTAATTGTTGGTGTTCCCAGGTCCACCCTGACCGGGTAGCACCTGTTACGATCCCAGCCATGGGCAAATAGTTAATCCTGAAACTGGGGTAAAAAACACTATGAAATTGTAAAAATAGGTTTTAATACCAGAAATACTTTAAAAAATTATTACCAGCAATAGATTTTTGAAGAAAACTATTACCATCAATACATTTTTGAAAAAAAAAATTACCAACAATGTTTTTACAAAATAAATATTACTAGCAATACATTTTTGAAAAAAGAAATTATCAGCAATACATTTTTGAAGGAAAATATTACCAGAAATAGACCTTTGACAAAACAAAATATTACCAGCAATAAAAATTTTGTCGGCATTAAATAACCCATTGAGGTTGATATGCCGTAAAACAAAATAAACCAAACCAATCTAAACCAAATAATATATATTCTATTCATACGAATCTGTTCTAAAAATTTGTCGTCATTGAATAACCCATTGAGGTTGGCATGCCGTAAACCAAACCAAACCAAACCAATATATACTGAGATAGATAGATAGATAAAAAAATATTACCAGCAATAAAAATCTTGTTGGCATTAAATAACCCATTGAGGTTAATATGCCGTAAAACAAACCAAACCAATCCAAAACCAAAACATGCTGTACAGCAGCAACTAATCAACATTATAAACATGTGAACAATAAACAAGTCTTGAAAAACAATAATACTCAATAAACCATACAGATTAGATGGCACAGTATGAAATTACTACGAACTTTTTATAACAAGCATTTGCAGTATTTCTTTTCTGAGAATTGCTTTATTATTGGCTTGAAATCAATGGTCTTCAGGAATAGAATATCATTTTCCATGCACATGAGTGAAAGTTAGTTCAAACGATACTGTCCCATTGTGCTAAGAAAGGAGATTTGTTTTATAAATTTCAGTCTTGAAAAAAAAAATTCTCCTGTACATTTGGTCACCATTATGCACATGAACACTTTGAGTGCATTTTGAACATTCCGGAATACAGATTTCAAATTGTCCGAAATTATTTTTCTGTAGAGCGCAGAGAAAGAGACACTCACAATTTTCATCAAGAGCCATGTAATACTTAAGATGCTCACATTCATTTAAAAGGTCGTCATAATTCAGGTCTTTGTGATAAATATTTATCCAGTTGTTCACACTTTTTCTTCAGTGGATCAGAAGCAATGGTTTTCAATTCACTGAAGAAATAAAACAGATTTCCAATCTGTGGATAAGCCTCTGCATGTTTTGTCAATTCAAAGATTAATGTCCAGAATAGGGAGGAAAGTTTCCACCTTGAACTTTTCGGATTTATTGAGAAGTATCTTTTCTGCTGATCCATCATGGCTATTAAGACGCACATTTCATTTTTTGTTCCCGTTTTTTTTCCCATCAGTGTAATGTGTATTTGGACACATACTCCTGGCTTTGAATTCCTATTCAATAAATTTGTCTCAAGTTTCCTGAAGAAAGGTTTTCATAGACTTAAGAAGATTCGTGGTAACAAGGATGTTCACATCCTTTAATAATAGGACCTTGCTTGTATTGTTCATTATTTCAAGCATGTCATTCCAAAGAATTGTGAGAAAAAGTGTTTCTAGTTTTTCCATTTTTACTCAAAACTTCTGCTTTTCGCCTTGGATTCACTCGCTGTTCATTGTCAGCTGATAAAAAATCCAGTGCATGTTTTTCTCGAAAGCCCCATACAGAGCATGAACAGCATCAAAATGTGCTGTCCATTTTGTGTCAGACAGACACTTGACCGCAAAATATTTTCCTAGAGATGTCAGTACATTCCACCGATGAGTAGAACCAGTAAAAATGAATACAGATTCTGAAGGAAGTCAAAGAATTTTACAGTCTGTAGCCAACACTCTGCTGCTTTGACTCCCATCAATTTCAGACTGTGTCCAGCACAAGCGACATACATGGCAAACTCGTCGAGTTGATGAATCCATGCATGCAATCTAGTATATCGTCCAGACATATTTGAGGCATTATCGTATGACTGACGACTGCAGTTTGATAGTAAAATTTTGTTCTCATTAACAAAATTCATAACGGTGTTTGTTAGATCCTTTGCAGCATGGAAAACAGGGTGAGGATAAAAAGTCAAGAAACGCTACACAGGCACACAGCCTTTAATGTATCGGACAGTAAATGTCAATTGATCTGTATGTGAGATGTCTGGAGTGGAATCTACACATATTAAATAATACTTTGACTTTTTTAGGTCTTCAAGAATAGTACAAATAACCTTTTGTCTCAATAATTCAATAAATTCCTCACAAATATATACAGATAAATATGACGGATTCCCTTTTCCAGGATTTACATACATTTTGAGATATTCTTCCAAAAATGGGTCAAATTTAATCAGCAGTTCCAGTATACTTAAATAGTTGCCATTATTTTCCGACCTAATAAACTGATTTTCTCCAGGAAATGGCAAACCTCTGGTGGCAAGAAAGCGATTTATAGAAACCACAGGCGTCAACAATTTATGCCAATATTCCTGCTTTTAGCAACTTTGGCTAAATAGTAAAGATTCTACATTTCCAGATTCTTTATGCCTTATTGTTGTGGAGAGATTTCACAGTGGAGGCTTGTATTTTTACTAAGTCGGTCCTAAAATAGGTTCGACGTACAAAACGTTAGGAACTTGATTTAATAGGTAATGACGCAGCAATCTAGTTGTGGTGGCTGATACATTAGTATTCGAATAACTGTCGTTTGACATCGACTGACTCACCAACAGACTGACGGACACGTTACTCTTAATACTCTTACTTATTATAGGTGGGAAAGTCTATTAACTATAGAATATGTGTGTTCCACTATAACACTTATTAAATATGCTGTCATGGACTTGCGATGTTCTTCATTTTCATGTTCTACAATAATATCGCTGCGCCTCCAGGCATTGAACTCCGCAGTGGCAAAGGGAGATTCTTTCTTGGACAATAGGCGACATAGAAAGCAGTATAAAGGACATTGGGATAGAGAATAGATTAGCCATTCATGTTTTACACACTGGCCATCCTGCAGTTCACATTTGAACACATTGTTTGATAAATACCTTGCCTTTATATTCTTTACTCCAGCTGTTTTTTCCAGTTTGCGTCATTTTGAATGTTTGCTATTTGATATGATGCGAGCTCACTACGAATCCAGTAATCTATTGTGTTAGTATCATTAATATTTTATAGACCCGGATCTGTCTCTTGGATTGCCAACTCCTTTACTGTTACAGATTTGGTTATTTCCCTTTGTAAAATGTCACCACCAGCAGCAGCCACCGGTAATGGTGGTATGTCTGCTGAAACTGGATGATTGGTAGCAGGAATGGATGTATATGTGGATGCTATATCTGAAGAAACATTACTAGTGGCTGACATTGCAGGAGTGGATGCTGATATCGATGCTATATCCGAAGGAATGCTATGAATGGATGTCGTTGCACTTGTGTTGAACCACGGTGTTAATTTTGGAAGTTTTCTTTTTTTTCTCCTTCTTCTCTGCAGCTCTCTTCTTTTGTGCTCCACTCAAAACATTACATTTCATTTCTGCTGAAAAGTCTATTCACATGGAAATATATATCTTAAATATTTAGTATTTAGTCCCATACCAGGGTGTAGGGTTATATTATATAAGTGTGCTTGCAACAAGACCTAAATATTTAAGCATTTTGCTTCCATAATGAACATGTCCTTCCTTTAATTGTACGAATAGTATTTATTCTTAATACAAACTCTCTACCGTGGACATCACCAAGATCTAGCTTAGTGGCATAGCTCGGGGGCCTGGCACTGATCTAGCCTCATCTATGTATGCAAGACTACTTTCATCTATGTATACACGACTACATTCAACACTTTTCTCAACTTGCACTATCCATTCATATATTCACAAACTATCAATATCTGGTAATTAGTACTGCATCCTAAATTCATAATCTTAAATAACTACTACATGCTTACCTTGCAAGTGTTCAATGTTGTGATTGAATCTCAGGTTCAATCACTAATAATCTATGCATAACCCTATACCTGGTTTCATATCTTATGGCCGGCCACTCGTATTCAAGAATACCCATCTATTAGGGCGGTTAGCTAATCCCTATTGCAGACGCTTTTTCAGGCGCATTTTGTGTTTGTTCAGCACCCACAGAGGCCACCTGTGGTTTATACTGCAACATTTTTTAGGCAGACCTCAGTTACGGTTTCTGGGAGAGAAGTGCGTTATCTAGCGTGATCCACAATCTGAACAAGGCCAGCATGTACATAATCTCGGTCACGATGACTTGTGACTTCGTGCTAGCACAGCCATCGACGGTTCCGTCTACCCAGTATCACTCACAAGGCTTGGGTCATATCACCGTGGTATGGTTTACAAGCACCTTTTCCAAAAGTGCCGCACACTGGGATCGACCTTGATCCAGTCTGATGACATCAGGAAGTCTACTTCCTGACAAATCGACCATGGTGAGGTTCGAACCTGGGTTTTATGGTCAGAAAGTGAAAGTTCTAACCACGTGGTTTCATATACAATTTATAAATATATCCAGTAATCATATCATTGCTGTTACTAGTACTAGAGTAGGTCTAAATGTTACTTCTGCTTTTTTTTTCATATTGGTATTAATCTTTTAATGTTAGTTGCAATAACTCTGAAGTCTAATTCTTCATCAAAATTAAATGAAGAAAGAAAACAGAAAACGATATCGAATGAGAAAAATATTTTTGTTTTAGTTAAAATTGAATATCAGTTTTTGTTTGAAATGAACATCAAAGAGTAGGACGAGTCCCCGTTTTCTCACATTTGCGACAAAAACAGAGAGAGAGAGATCAGAGTTAGAGAGAGAGATGATAATAAAATAATTTATTTACAAAGAGAGAAAAAAAAAAGAGAGACAATTCAACATTGAGAGAGAGATTGATCCAGAGAGAGAAAATTTAAGAATGAAATAAAACCAGAAACAAAATAAAGAGAGAATAGAGAGAGAGAACAAAAAAGTCAACAGTTGTCTTGAGTAACAAATATTAAAGAGATAGAGAGAGAGAGAGAGAGTTTTACTGGAGAAGAGAGAGAGTGCAAAGACTGATCCTCGGCAGTCAGGGTCAGTAAAAAAAATTCTTTGATCTTTTGATCCAGCCTAGGAAAATTTAAAGAATAACCAGAAACAAAAAAAAATAAAAGATAATTGTCTCCAACAAAAAAAGTTGAACTAAACTGACAGAAATGAGAGTTTTACTGACAAACCAGCCTTTCCATTTATAAAACTGACGAGACAAACCAGCCTTTCCATTTATATAGGAAGGTGATCGAAGAAAGTACTCGCCATTTCCGGTGTCTTCTAGATAAAAAAAAATACATTCTCCCACTTTCTTTTTTATTCGAGAACCAATTCAGATGAAATGGATCTTTCTATTATGACATATATTTTCACCAATCGCAGTATCGCGGCTTGTCGTAGTAATTTCTATTTTTATTATTTTCTAAAAAGAGGCTTCTGTAACACAAATCACTTAACATACGCAGATTAGCATCTGACCTCTATACCCGTGGGGTTCCTGAGCAAATGATCATCTGCCCATGCGGTAAGACTCTCATATTTCCGGATGATTTTTTTTTAATTAATTCAATCTTTCTTATCTAATCGCGAAATGAAAGTTGTCTTGAATGGCCACTCTTCTAGATTTTTTTGTACTAATGAAAGTTTTCCCTTGGGCCTGCTTTGTTCTTAATTTTTATCAAAGATCTTACTGATGACATCTGTTCTCAACTTTGTATAAAAGTTGATGGCACAACAAAATAATTCACCTGATCAGTTCGATGAAGTGAAATTGGCAGGTGATCTAAAAAGTGACCTACAGTTTGCTGTTAACTAGGGCAAAGAGTGCCTTGTTAATTTTAACACTCTCCCCCTGCAAAAAACTCTATTAATCACCTGAAAGATCCCTTCCTGCTTCCCGTCAACATGGTTGACGCTAACCTCCATGACAGTGACTCATTACGTCTTCTCGGTCTAACATTCGCAGCTGATATGAACTGGAAAGACTATATTGAATCCATTGCTAAGAAAACCGGGTCATTGTGTTGTGCTAGACATTTGTTCTCTTCAGAATCTATCTTGCATATTTATAAGTCTTCCATTCGTCTATGCTATGAATATTGCTGCCACATCTGGTCCTTGTTCACCTGCTATATATTTAACAGAGGAATCAGTAATATTATTGGCCCTGGCTTGGCGTCTCGGCTTTCCTACCACCGTAATGATCCCCCCCCACACACACAAACAATGAATTGTACAAATAGGGACTAGTTAGGACATTCATAGAGACATTGAGGTATTAAGGTGAATGGAGTAAGAATGGTAAATAAGAATGCATTGTTTTGATGTTATGAATATTGTAGCATGTTTAGATCAGTGTTTGTGGCTAGCTAAGTTCAAATTTAAGACAGAAGAAGACTGTCCATTTCTCCATTCCCTATTTTGGCTTTATGCCACATTTTTTAATTTTTACAAATAGATATCACACTTCGCTCTATGTACATAGACTTTATGAATTTAAGCGCCGTACTAGATTGGCGGCAAGGTCTCATTAATTCACAGTTGAATTGGCGAGATGTAATCGTAAGTTCTATGCTAACGATTTCTTTTCTCGTATTCTCGCTTGTGGGAACTCTCTTCCGGCTTCATGCTTTCCAGCCAACTTTAATCTTCAAAAATTTAATTGCAGTTTTATTCGCTATCTACTATCTTGATTAGTCTTCTATTCATTTCGCTCCCTAATACTTTTCCCTCTTTTTGTTCTTCCACACTCAATAAACCTTTGTGTCTTAGTGGCTTCACTGCCTAATATGGGAGTGATATGATTGAAAAAATCGAAGTTGATTATTACGTTAAAATGAATACAAGCCCACCTAAATATCAAATATTGTCTAAATGCTAAAATGAAATAAAAATAGTTTCATATGACTATATGGTAAATTGGAATGTCAACAATGTTTTCAGGAGCGAAATAGTCAGGCTCATATGGCTGAATTTTTGAATCCATCGAGTAGAGGATTTGTTTTTGCAAAAATCAGAAAATAATATCAATAAACTCTTGGGTTGACTATTAGTATGAGTCATTTTTCAGAAACACATCATTGGTGCCGTTATTCTGTGTGTCTTTCAGTAAAAGGTCAAATACTCATGTATTATACGGTTTATGCCGTAGTTTTTTTTTTATTTTAATGATTCGAAAGTGTGTAGTAAATACATTGCTTCGACCTTGGATAAAAATGCAGTCGTAAAAGGTAACATTTAATTAGGAGAAAAGGACAAAATAAAATAAAGAGACAAAAAGTAAATGTCACACAATGTTGATATGTTGCTTCACTCCCCACCATCCACTCCTAAACACCGCCCAAAGTCCGTTTAATGACATTATTTTATAAACAATTATCACGATATCCCCCCGGAAGACAAACTGGAAGACCGTGGATGCCACCGGAAGAAAGTAGGATATAAAAAAACGAAGAAAGAGAATATGAAATTAAAGACGAGATGAATACTGAAGAGACCTAATAATAATAATAATAATAATAATAATAATAATAATAATAATAATAATAATGAGAAGAAACAAGACGAATGAAGGAGAAAGAAAAAGAAGAGGAGGAAGTAGAGGAAAAAGAGAGAGAGAAACTAAAACAACAACAACAATTACAACAAAACAAGAACCGGAAGATACAAAGAAAAACCGAAAAATAAAATAAAATAAAATAAAAGAGTTTGAGATTCCAGAGAAGGAATAATAATAATAATAATAATAATAATAATAATAATAATAATAATAATAATAATAATCATGAGAAGAAGAAGAAGAAGAAGAAGAGTAGGAGGAGTAGAGAAAGAAACTAATGAAAAAAACACAAGTAGGTGAAGAGAAGAAGAAAAAGCAAAGTGAGTTTAAAATACCACGGAAAGAAAAGAACGAAAAGAAATAATAATAATAATAATAATAATAATAATAATAAGAAGAAGAAGAAGAAGAAGAAGAAGAAGAAGAATAAGGACGAGGAGGAGGAGGAGGGGAAGGAAAAGTGTGTAAAGAGAAAAAAAATAATGAAAAAGAAGCAGATGTGAATATACAAAAATAAAGAAAAAAATTAGAGTTTTCTGAAATTCCAGAGAAAGAAAGAAAGAAAGAAAGAAAGAAAGAAAGAAAGAAAGAAAGAAATCGGAAGAAGAAAAATATAGTGAACAAGAAGCGATAATACTGAGAAAAATGAGAGAGTGGAAGTTGAGAAGAAGGAGAAAAGAGAAGAAGGAGAAAAGTGAAGAAGGAGAAAAGAGAAGAAGAAGAAAAGAGAAGAAGAAGAAAAGAGAAGAAGGAGAAAAGAGAAAGGCTGAAAAGAAAAAAACCAAGGTTGCAGAAGAGGAAAATCTATAATATTTACTTAATTTTAGAAGAGAAATCATCAAGATAAACATACTCCCAACAGTTCCGATCAAGGCCGAAGATAATAAGGAAAAGATAAACAGGATGAACATTTTTATATAATGTTGTTTGCGTTAACCTGGTAAACTCCAAATAAATACTAAATTTCACACACTACAAATCTCGTGAGCCAATCAAGGTAGAGGTTTACTGTTAAAATGGTTATGATGAATGAGGCTGGCTTTATGAATAAAGTGATGATTATGAGGATAACGAGAATATAGTGAGCTTTAACGTGAAGAGCTTACGATTGTGGTGTTCAGGGAAGCATCCACGCAGGAGCAGTTATTGGACAAAGTGGTATTTTTATGGGGTGGAGTTGCTAGCTCCACGGCCAGCTGGATTTGTATATCAGAGTTGTTGTTCTAGTTGCCAACCAAAGCTAGAGAGATCTGTCTTCCCTGCTATTAAACCCCTAGCTGAGTGGCGAGAAGAGAGGGATTTGTACGTTTTCAAAGACATTTGTGCGAAGGCGAAATGTCAATTGCTGGAATTTGAACTCGACACCCCAATCCTATTTTCCGACACCGGTAACCGCCACGCTACGCGCACATCCGTTTTTGGCTCTGTGTGCCAAATAGATTCATATGACATCTTGCTACTCCTATAAATTTATTCTTTCGAGACAATTTTCACGTTTATTTTTTTGACTGTCACAACGTTTTCTGCTGCTGTAGCTACCGTTTGATGTATTACACTCCGATCTCAGGTGACTGTCATATTCGGTTTTGAAGTCAGAGAAATGAACGAATATATTTAGTTTTGTTCCAAACTTTATCCAAAAAAGATCTCTAGAATATTTTGATGATACGGAAGAGTGGATGACAGAACGTTGTAAAATACAAATCTAAAACAATTTCTCTAACGGGTAGGCTTTTACGACGTGGAATTGTTAGCTCCACACCCAACCGTATTTTTTAAAATTTAGAGTTGTACGTCTCTTAGACTCATTGCCAACAAAACTACAGAGCACAGTTTATCCTATTATCTCTGGAGGAGAAAAAGATGGATTCCTAGCATTCCAGTTCTATATGGGTGAAATTGAACGCAACATGCTCGGCTGGGGTAAGAAACTCCCCCACAGCAACTACAGTTTCAGCGGCGGTAACTGCGATGCTACACGCATATGTCTTGTTTTTATATAAAAGCCACTTAAAAATACCATTCGATTGATTGATTGATTTCTGTTTTACGGCTTATCAACCTTTTTCGGGTTATTTAACCCCTTTCCCGATGTAGACGTGTATATACGTCTATATTGAAAGTTACCTTTTCAGACACTTACGTATAAACACGTCCAAAATGTAACGTTCAAGAACCAGCTACAGACGTCTTCTTTTTTTATACCCGTCTGAGCTTGAAATGAATCCAATTCTCAACTCTTACGTCTGGCAGAGATGTTAGCCTCCATTCGGGTAATTCAACGTGCCTCAGTTTCTTTGTTACTATATTAAAAATAGATTTAGAAAATTCGTCTGGAAATGAAATGTTTTTCCCCTAATAATTGGCGGGGAAGAGCTAGAAAATGTTTTATATTGCAAGAATTTGGGGGGTGATAATAATGATTTACTCATACAAGTTCTACTAATTAACCCATAAGTGGGGGGATACCTGCCTTTGCTAATAGTATTTGCGCGTCATTGAATATAAAGAACCCGACTGGAATTGGAACTCGGCTTTTCGAATACCAATCTCGAGTCGTTATGCATTAAACCCAATGCACATCCAAGCTTAGAGCACCTGTTATTCCCAAACGGTCACCCATATAGGTAGTGACGAGGCTCGACATTGCTCAACTTCGGTGATTTTGAGAGAACCGGTGTTTCAAGGTGGTATGGCCGTAAGCCAATATCATTTGAAGATATACTGTATGAGGTTAATTTTCTTTTAGTAGAGAATGGAAAATTTGACATGCAATATAATGAGGTCAGGAGAGAATCAGCGATTGATCTGCTTAACAGGCTTGTGTGAATGGATAGCAGAACATGAAGTAGAAAGGATAGTAAAGCGATTAACATTGCTGTGAGCTGCAAGGACAGGAAGTTGTGGAGAGCCGTGACTGTCCATGCCCATAAGAGAAATCTACATAGAAGAAAGAATCTTTGGCCATTCAAATGGTGTTGGAAGATTTTTAAATGATGGATTCTTTAAGAGGTAGGTAATAAATGACAAGACTTCGAATTCTTGACTGGATCTCTGAGAATATGCAATCTTTTCATCGTGATCTGTTGTACATCGTACTTATTATAAAACGCAGATTGTGTGTGTGTGTGTGTGTGTGTGTGTGTGTGTGTGTGTGTGTGTGTCTGTACGTTTATATATTGGATCGGATTTCCTACATTTTTCAACCGATTTCAACATAACTTCACAGGACTGCGTAAAATTACCTTGCGGTGGTTCTGACAGCGCCAAAAATTGGAAAAAACACAATTGTTTTTGCACGAAATCAATTTGAAAACACGATTCTGTAGCCAGAATGAAAGCGGGACAACTCATATCGAGTTATACTTATTATAAAACCCAGGTTGTTTGTGTGTGTGTTCGTTTATATATGGGATCGGATTTCCTACATTTTTCAACCGATTTCAACAAAACTTCACTTTTTTTGGCAGGTAGTGTTTCTTATTGTCTTGCACACTTTTTTCTTTATTTTTACATTCAGAATGCTATAAAAATTCCATTTACAAGACAATTGTTTATAATAAAATTCTATTCAATCGGTAGACTCATAACGATTGAAAACAATGTTTTTGTTTGAGTTTGGGTTTGACCAATTCGTAAAAAAACAAAAAAAATAATTAAGACATCTGTGTCCGTCAACCTTAAACAATAATCTTTGTCAATTTTATTTTTCAGTCTATATGATGGTCGATACTTGATCTATCTCTTACTGTTACATCCCCGGGCAACGCCGGGCTCTACTGCTAGTTGCATCTACAGATGTACGATGAGAAATACAAATGTACTGTTTTGGCCCGAGGCTTACAAAAAGTACAAAAAAAGAGAAAACATTGAACCAGAAATACAAATCACCGTCCTCTCTCCTTCCATTATCTTTTTTTTTGTCTTTTTTGTATTCTTGACTTTTACAGTTATTTTCCTTTTATTTCTTCCTCTTTTCTCTCTTCTCTTCTTCCCTCATTTTTATGTCCTTTTTTACCTGTTCTTGGTTTATTTCTTCCTATTTTTTCCCGCCTTTTCTTTCTTTGTACATGTTTTCTTTTTTCTTTCCTATTTTCTTCTTATTTTCTTTTTTTCTTTATTCGTTCTGCTCTGTCCTTTTCTTTCATTCTTTCTTCGCTCTCCTCCCTCCTTTTCTTTCTTTCTTTCTTTTTTCCGGTGTATTTCTACGTCTTTCCCATTGCCATATTTTTCGCACTCGTTCCTTCTTTTTCGTATGCCTTCCATCTTTCCTTATTTGCTGTTTACTTATTTTCTTTTTACCTCTTCTTCTCGTAATCTTCTTCCATTTTTGCTTCTTTTCCCTCCTTATCTTTCTTTCTTCTCCTATATCTCCTTTTTTTACTTTGCATTTTCTTTACCTTCTTTCTCTTCTCCTCTCTTAAATCCTTTTTTTATTGAAGGTTAAATATTAAATTCGTTTTCTATATTCAGATTCTAAAACTGTCACAGATGCAAATAAAAAAACAAGAAATTTTGCTTTTTGCTTTTTCGTTCAAGAAATATTGGATAACTTCAAAAGTCCACTCGCTTTTTTTAAATTAATATAAAAAAATATAGTTTATTTCCAGCATTAGCTTCATGGAACAACATATTTACCCTTTTGTTCAATTAACTTCTGCCATCTTCCAGGCAACATCATAATTCCATCCTCCTAGAACTTTTTAAAGAATTACTTTAGCTGCCTGAATTTCTGGAATAAAGTGTTATTATTTACATTATTTGTATTCGGACTAATGTCTTCATCTTTGTTGTCACTATCTCAACTTTTAAGCCGTGATGTCCATCGATCTGGGTAAACCTTCCGGCTTTTTCGTATTGACTTCCGGTTACTCTACCTGGGAGGTTGTTCTCATTCCGTTGTCCGTTTGTACTTTTTTTTTTATTTAATGTTGCTCGCTTATTGCTAACCTCGTTTCCACTGAGTTTCTATTCCCCGTCCCCGACGACTACAGCGTGTGGTAATTGTTAGTAAGCAAACTGGTTGGTCATTATTCCTCACATATCCAAGCGGCGCTTTCTTACTTCAGATTAAGTGTTTGCGTCGATTTATAACTCACCAAAAGAGAGGCATTTGAAATTATTACGGACGTAAGGGGCACCTCGAGGTGGTGTAATGGTTAGCAAGCTTGTCTCGCTAGAATAAATACGAATGAGTAGTGAGTTCGATTCTCGGTGGGTGCCCTTTACTTTCGGCCTTGTGCCACATCTAAGCTACGCATGGAAAATCACTATTACCGACGCAAGTAAGCTTGATCCTTCTGTGAGAACAACGAAAGAGGCCAAGCAACGTTTGTTTCATGCCTACGTCAGATAGCATACACGCTAGGAGATGGCACTGGGATGAAAGTTTGGGGAACTCATTGGTCGAGGAACTCAAAATAGTCACTTGATTCCGAAAAATTTCCGAAAATTGTTCAGGTATCTGATATTAACTTGAGAGTTAAAAAGAATGAAGTCTTCGATTGATGCCGAAGATTCTAATACTATTATGTAACGAATCCCTTTAGAACGTGGGTGAGCATGGCTCTCCACAATTTCCTGTCCTTTATAGCTCTTAATAAATTTGTATTTTTGCTATCTCTCCCTGTTCTGTCAACCATTTACACAAGCTCACTCGGTAATTTATTCAATGTTTTCTTCTGTCCCTCTTGTCTTCAATATGTCCTGTGAGTGTCAAATTTTCTAAGCCCTCTTTTCTCATCCTGTGCCCTAGAAATTTCAGCTGTTTCTTTCTGATTCTAAGTAAGTGTTATTTTTGTTCCATTTTCCATAAAACTTCGTCGTTAGTCACGTGTTCATTCCATGTTATTCTCAGCATCCTCCTGTAGAACCTCATTTCCGTTGCCTCAAATCCATTTTTCATCCGTGAGGAGATTGTCCAGCATTCATTGCCATATTTCCCTTGTAACGGAGAATCGGGTCAGCCCGACAAGAGGCCCACGGTTGGTTGCGTGTGGTGCAGTAAGCATCAGGAGTTATGTCCTCTTCCCCAATTGACTGCTTGTTACGGGGTCCTTTGTTCTATTTCGCCCTCGAACTGGTCCGTCTTCGCATCTGTGGAGATACATGGTGACAGCAATGAGGATGAAGTACCCCTCCTGCGAAGGAGCGCTCTCGACATCAATTGTCGAAAAGGGCGTAATTCTTGGTACTTACTGCACCGCACGCAACCACCTTTGGGTCCCTTGTCGGGTTGACCCGATTCTCCGTTACAAACTAGGTTTGCAACAAATAATAAGAAATGTCTCGAATTTACAAAAGCCTATATGGATTTCTATAATGATTAGGCGAATTTAATCTGATTTGATGAAACAAGCCTAAATAATTCATCTGATTTGATGAAACAAACATAAATATTTAATGCAGCTGCTTCAATATCAGATCCTGTAAAGCAGTGCTTCTCAAACTATCTAATATGGTGGACCGGCATCTTATTTCTCAATATGTCACGTACTTGTAAATTTTCGTGGTAATATTAATTTATACCGGAAAGGATATATATATAATGACTATAATGAAATTTGACTTTATCATCTTCCATTCATTTTGCAAAAAAAAAAAAAATAATAATTCAATATAAAAACATATTAAAAATAATAAAAAAATAATCAGTTTATTAACACAAAACAAAAACAAAAATTATATAACCTAAATCTTTACAAATGATTCCTTAGTATGTCCTGGACATTGGCCGCGTACCGGTAGCTGATGGTTCGCGTACCGGCACCGGTTTTCGGATCACCACTTTGAGTAGCATGGATGTAAATGTGCTGTGATATTTAAGAAAATGACCCCTTCAAAAGGTGCCAACGTACACTAAAGTCCACCTCTGTGCTAATCAATTGGTAACCCCAAAAAGGGTACGTTTAACAGACGGAATGTTTTACGGCTGGATATATGAATTGGTCAATGCTGGAGAGGAAAGCAAGTTTTATCATTGCGTGCCGACATACACTGAGACTGCACGGAATTGCCACAATGGTATTGATATTTAATCTTAACAGACATTTCGGATAAAAGAGATTACGCTTTGCTGTTTATCCACCAAAAACATATTGAGTGCCGTGAGATCCAATGCCAAAACCGAATCCGAATTGCTGGGATATCGTCAAGAAATCCTGGATGATACTAATGAAACCATTGCCAGCCATCGACTCAGGCTATTAGGGTAAGTAAGTAGAGCTGCATTGCTAAAATGCTGCATATAAATGTATAAAGCATTTTAACACGTATCTGTGTAAAACGACTGAAAACGCGTTAAGGTTTTTAATGACAGTGAAGCGATAACGTTGTTTAATCTAAATATTTTATTTGATTTCCTGAAGGCACGTGGCACATCAAGGAAAATTTTTTCACTTTTCTTTAGAAAATCAACACTGCACACGGTTGAGGTTTGATGTGATAAGTACTAACACCAAAAACTACATTCATAAATTCTACCAATTTCTGAGCATTTAGGTTTAAAGATTGTCTTAAAAATGAACAGAAATACTTATTTTCCTCAGGTTTTTGCTTAGAAACTGACATTAAGATTTTGCTATTTCAATAATAAATCCAAAATAAAGTTATTTTTTTATATTGGGTAAACTGAGGCAAATATATATTCAAACTAGAATTCTTATTATGCAATTTTTACAGTAATAGCGAAAACTAAAAATTGTAAAAGATTACAGAAAAAATGAGATGCTTGAAAACTATCATCACCCAACTACAGGCACTAACCACGTACACATAGCCCCATATATATATATATATATATATATATATATATATATATATATATATATATATATATATATATATATATATATATATAGGTAACTATACTCGTCTCGAAAAAACCTTCGAATTTTTGGTTTGCCAATAATCAAATCAATTTCGAAGGAATAAAAAATTTTAAAGGTTTCCCTGACGACCCGCTTAGGTGAAACCTGGCTAGGTTTGTCTGGCTCACTAGGTCTGACTATATATATATATATATATATATATATATATATATATATATATATATATATATATATATATGTATATATATGCTCCTGAAAAAATTTATTTTGGTTGAGTTCTCTGGGGAGGAAGTGTGGGTTTGTAAACAGTGACTATTACGGCTAATAATGCAAGACTCTTCGGTCAATCGAAGTGAGTTCTCTCGGTGACTGTGTTTATCTAAAAATAAATACACTTAAATTCACCTTCATTCCTGCCGTGCGCCAAGTGGTAGAATCCCCGACTGACGCCAATTCAGTCGGGTTTCGATCCTAGCTAGAGGCAACCGGATGTCTAGCCACACTGATGAGCTGCGAAACAGTCTGTCTGTGGATGACTATATATATATATATATATATATTTGAATTAAATAAAGGAGTATGAGGAACCATATATACGTTTGTTTACGTTCATATACAGATTTGCATGTAAATGTTTATTTAAGTTTTGGTGTAATCAAAACAGTGCTCAATGCTGTGTAACAGAGCTATAAAGTATATAATTAACTATGCGTATAACGTACGTCAGTTGTACACCTCATATTTTTTCGTAAATGATGATTGTAAAGACATGAATCTTCTACAACTGACGTACACACACACACACACACACACACACACACACATATATATATATATATATATATATATATATATGTCAATGATAATGTTAATGATGGACGTTGCCTTATATGTACCTCCCATGATTCGCTAAAAATGAGCATACATGATAAAAAGATGCCCCAAATTGAATAAAAGTTTTATCGTCAAAATCTTTGTTATTGTTAAGAGGAAAGTCCAAAGGAATTTCTATTATTAAATTATATCTTCAAGCCTTCAGAATTATTTATATTACCATTATGTGTCAGTATTTCTGATAATGAGACTCAATTTGACATACAATGTCTGGTGTTATAATGGTGAGTGTGAATCTCTGAAGGGCCCTTAAAAATTATAATTTGTGGTTTATCCCACTTGGTTTTACCAAAACGCCTGTTACTGTATGTGTGTGTGTGTGTAGGGGGGTGTTCTTTAAGTCTATAAAAAAGGCAACCATATTATCTGTCTCTCTTTTTTAATTCCTGCTTCCAGATGTAGTCGAATGTAGAATAAGAACGCTGCCGACGAGGCGTGTTCGCTTCCTTGGTCCTCTGTTGATTTTTGAACTCTCTCACATAAGCACATACACACACGTGTTTATTACACACGTTGTCTACCCCCCCTCAAGTATATTCATCTTGTTTCTTATTGTCTTGCACACTTTTTTCTTTATTTTTACATTCAGAATGCTTTAAAAATTCCATTTACAAGACAATTGTTTATAATAAAATTCTATTCAATCGGTAGACTCATAACAATTGAAAACAATGTTTTTGTTTGAGTTTGGGTTTGACCAATTCGTAAAAAAAAAAACCAAAAAACTAATTAAGACATGCGTGTCCGTCAACCTTAAACAATAATCTTTGTCAATTTTATTTTTCAGTCTATATGATGGTTGATACTTGATCTATCTCTTACTGTTACATCCCCAGGCAACGCCGGGCTCTACTGGTTTTTATAAAATATATATACACATGACAACCAAATAAGAGATACACACAACATAATGACTTATTTTTACACAAATGTACTAGTATCCTACAACAAATTAATTGCATAAATAAATCCTTAAATATTTCATGAGTTTTGTATTTTAATTTAATAAAATATAATTATTTTTAAAAAAAGAGCAACTCCAAAGAAAAATGCAGTAAAGAAAGAAGCAATCACTCAGTGCATGAAGGAACGAAGCAGTGTTCAGCGAAAGTGAAAAGGAATGGAAGGGGTAGTTTTATTTATTCGACATGAAAATTAGACAATAATTAGACGTATTGAGATGGTCAAGGACGCATTCCAAAAGCTGGGCAGAATATTGCGATACAGGATTATTTCTTTGGTGACAAAGAAAAGAATACTGAGCTGTTACGTGACATCTGTCCTTCTTTACGGCAGCGAATGTTGGACGGTTTCCTCAAAGATGGAGAAGAGACTTGAGGCGACGGAGATGTGGTTCTACAGAAGGATGCTAAGGATATCATGGAACGAACGTGTGAGCAACGATGAGGTCTTAGAGAGGATGTAAACAAGGAAGAGGCTTATACTTAACATCAGGAATAGGCAGTTGAGACTCATAATGAGGAAGGAAGGCCTGGAGAATCTGATACGGGTCGAATAGAGGGAAAGAGACAAAGGAAAACAACACGTGACATACCTGGTGGGCTTAAGCAAGTGGATGACAGAACGTGGTCTGGGGGATGAAGAAGAGGGTAAGAAGTTGTTGAGAGCTGCAAGGTGTAGAGGGGAGGTGGAGAGCCATGATCGCCTACGTCCCGAAAGGACATGGCAGATAAAAAGAAAAGAAGTTGTGTTTGAACCTCCGTTGTCTCCTGGAAATCAATATTTTTAGATCCAGTTCACCACTGATGGTGAAGCTTTGCTTGAGACGTTGATATACTTCGTCTAGAATACCAGGTTCTTTAAAAAATTGTAATAAAAGAATTCGTTTCCGAGTGAGATTTTACCATTGTTAAAAATGGAAATGTTTTTTTCCCCAAATAAATGTAACTTTTGCTAAATTTGAATTTACCTACTTTAAATTCTATCTTCGAAAATCCAACATTACATTCTAAAGAATCTCTAAGCTTCAGACATCCTACTGCGGACATCGCAATAGCACACATTGAAACAATAGCTACCTCTACTGGTGGATGCATCTCACATAGCCAATTATTAGAAAGAACGAGATAATTTCCGTTGAACAAACGAAGATATTTTCCCGCTAATAAACACCTGCTCCGAGTGTTTTGCCTTATCTCAAGTGCTGATAATAAACACTTTCTATTTCCCAACTGAAAAACCATAGAGGAGTGGCTCTTTTGTTGTTTAGATGTGATAGAATTTCGTTTTAAAGTTATTCATTCACTTTTTCTTTTGTCAAGATTAATAATACTGATTATGTTTTTGACAATTTCAAGTTTTATTAAATTTGGAGCAGGAACAGCCATTTATATTGACTTCAGTATCACAGGATTTCACATGCCTCAGTTTTAGTTTATTCAGGTTTCAGGAACAAGTCATCAGCAAGGAGACCCATAAAAGTAAGAAAAATAATGCAGAATGATTAGAATTCTTTTGAACAGAGTCACAGTTTATTTCGAGTGAAAATAAAAAAGTATTAAATTCATAACTTGTTTTTCAATAGATTATAACATTGATTATAGTCTTAAAAATATAGTCTTTTAATTTTCTATATTAAAAATAATCTAAAGCCATTAGAGTGACATTATTTTTACGAACAACCTAACACACACAGACATATATATATATAAACATAAACATATATATATATATATGTATGCATGTATATAAACACAAACATGGGTATATATATATATATATATATATATATATATATATATATATATATATATATACATTTCACATAATGCAAAGGTTAATGATTTTAAATGGCGAGACATCCATCTCGCAAACAATTCAAATATTACAGAAAAACCTCAGATCCGTTATGAATGAATTGATCCTTGTTCATATAAATTTCTGCCGTATTAGTTGTTATTTTTACACAAGCTTTCGTCTGTTCCTACAGACATCTTCAGGTATATAATAGATGTTGTTCTTGTTTTTTTCTCTTAGTAATAAGAGGACATCGAAAATATATGTGTATTGTATCCGAAATGCTATTGAAAAAAAGAAAAAAATCAAAATCAAACTTAGCGTTGCTTTGGCGCGTTCAAAAACCAATATCTCATTTTCAATAGCATTTCGGATACAATACACATATATTTTCGATGTCCTCTTATTACTAAGAGAAAAAAACAAGAACAACATCTATTATATACCTGAAGATGTCTGTAGGAACAGACGAAAGCTTGTGTAAAAATAACAACTAATACGGCAGAAATTTATATGAACAAGGATCAATTCCTTCATAACGGATCTGAGGTTTTTCTGTAATATTTGAATTGTTTGCGAGATGGATGTCTCGCCATTTAAAATCATTAACCTTTGCATTAGTTTTGTGTGAATAATTCATGTATTTGTAAATTGATTGCACGTTTATTGTAATATATATATATATATATATATATATATATATATATGAAATGGACCAAGTCCGACAATTATTTTAAGACATTTTTATGTTTATACATTCTTTTTATTGATACAAATATTCAAGTAAATGCTCTGTTTATAATTAACAACGTTTACCGACCTGAATGTCCGAAAAATTATCATAGAAAATATGCGTTCTCCGACAGGAATCGAACCTGTCTCCTATACAGAACCGTCATATAGCCTGACGTGCTTTTACCGATTTCGCCAGACAGGAGCGTTTCGATTAGCAAGGTCGATTTTACTGTTTTTAAACTACAATTTTCCATGATTTTCTCACATACATTCATATCTGCTCGATGCGTATCCAAATGTAAACAAATGACGTCACACATTATGAAATGGACAAATTCCGACAATTATTTTAAGACATTTTTATGTTTATACATTCTTTTTTATAGATACAAGTATTTAAATAAATGCTCTATTTATAATAAACAGTATTAACAACATTTACCGGCCTGAATGTCCGAGAAATTGTCATAGACAATTCCGTATAGGATACAGGTTCGATTCCTGTCGGAGGACGCATATTTTCTATTACAATTTCTCTGACATTCAAGCCGGTAAATGTTAATGTCAGAGAAAAATCCGTGTTTAAAGACACTATTCAACTTTGCTTCGTCATCGATGCACTCCTTAGCACGTCGCATCTATGTTATGATTTTATTTTTTTTTTTAATTTTGCGCATGCGCATTGTTTGTTTTTTGATTTTGTCGACTGCACAGTATAGTAGAGTCAGGTGTGCATCATCTATGAGAAAAAGAGCACCATGACGCAATTCACTCCGCCAGAAATTTGGAAACGGCATGCAGTTATGCTTGGCATTCGCGTCGGAAGCTCCAATATGAACATTTCAGGACAGTGCAGAAGATGCTGTGTCCCCAAAAGATGTAAACCAAATATCCAGTCAACATCATGGTGTTTGGAGTGATCACTAGTGATGGCGTCGTTATGCCTCCATTATTCTTACAAAGACCCAAGATTAACACGGAGCCCTACATCAAGTAACTTGGCAAGGTTGAGATGCCCTGGGTCAAGAGAGTGGCTGCTGGAAAACCCTATGTCTGGCAAAAAAACTCTGCAGCATACCCCACACGCAGAAAGAACCCAGTCATGGCTGTCAGGCAATTTCTGCGACCACATTACTCTGTACATGTGGCCACCTAACTTCCCAATTGATTATTATTTGTGGGGTGCTGTTGAGCGAGAGACCAACAAAACTCCTTGTAACACCAAAGATAAACTGAAGGCAAGGATTATGGCAGCATTCACCAGCTTATACAAGGAGACCAACTGGAAGAGTTGCAGGGGATTCCGAAGTTGTCTGGAGGCGGTGGTTGAAGCCAATGGCAAGTTTAATGAAAAAAAATATTCTTTAGTATTTCAAGATATAATTACGAAAATTATATCTTTTAAAACGAGATATCATTATTTTCATGTTTGCATAATTTAGACGACAATTCATCCATCGCACTATATATATATATATATATATACAAGAGATATACAAGAGATATGTGAAAGATCTCATCCGAGCTAGAAAGGAGTAAAATATTCTGCCATTTGCTTATCTATCTATCTATCTATCTATCTATCTATCTATCTATCTATCTCTGTATATATATATATATATATATATATATATATATATATATATGTGTGTGTGTGTGTGTGTGTGTGTGTGTGAGGTGTATCTGTGTGTCTGTGTGTCATGTATGTATGCATATACATCTATGGATGTATATGCTCTCGCGTTGATAATCTATCTATATATCTACACATAACTTCCACGCACGCACGACCACACACAAGTCCTCCAAATATATATTGTTAATTATATATATTTCATATGGCTTGAGGCATTTGCAGATAGAATATCCCACAACTTAGGAATGATAATGAAAATACTAGAAACCATTATGAAGCTAATAATTAAGGCAACTATAAGCCGCTTTTAAATAAGAGAGAATTTACGTTAATCACAACGGATATACGAAGCGATCAGAAATGTGATTAATGGTTAATACGTTTGGGAATTCTATTAAAATGGCGATAGCAGGTTTCTATTATTGTAAGATGGGGTGACATTTTAACCTGCTGTCTTGGCGCGAAAAAAAAAAACAATGAAAGTAGACAACCTACTGACTGAAGCCAATTTAATATATATATATATATATATATATATATATATATATATATATATATATATATATATATATATATGTATGTATGTATGTATGTTTCAAGAAATACATTTGTGTCACTATCAAACAAAAAGAGAATGTTTAACATTGGAAATGTTTAACATCGAAAAACATAAGTAAAATTAATTGATTTTAATAATATATGGAAATATCCACTTTTTGCTTGATGGATGTCACGAGACCCGAAACATGTGTTGCAAAATTATGGAAAATAAAGCATAATACATATTTAAAAAAAATCCACATTACAACCAAAAACGTTTGCGGTTTCTTTTTAATATATACACTTTTCTCTCGTTGTAACAACTATAAACTCTTCCCTTTATATATATATATATATATATATATATATATATATATATATATATATATATATATATATATATATATATATATATATTTTTTTTAAAGGCCGATTTTACTGTCTTTAAACTACAATCTTCCATGATTCTCTCACGTACATCCATAAAGACAGTAAAATCGACCTTGCTAACCGAACGCTCCTCTGTGGCCCAATCGGTTAAGGCATGTCAGGCTATATGACGGTTCCGTGTAGGATACAGGTTTGATTTCTGTCGGAGGACGAATATTTTCTATGAAAATTTCTCCGACATTCAGGCCGGTAAATGTTGTTTAATACTGCTTATTTTAAATAGAGCATTTACTTAAATATTTGTATCTATAAAAAGAATGTATAAACAAAAATGTCTTAAAATAATTGTCAGAATTTTGTCCATTTCATATATATATATATATATATATATATATATATATATATATATCGTGTATGTATAATTTCACATAAACTTGTATAATAAGGAGTGATGGAAAGTCTCTGGCTGACCCATTCCCCAAAATGAGTAACCTGATGTTTGCTCATTGAAGAACTGGTTTTGGAGCATGAGTTAGGAGCAAGAACGTATCACTACGCCCTTGTATGTGAGTTAATAGTCGATTGTGCACCTTTTTGGTATTTAATGTTATCTAAATTTTTTGTTAATCTTTTATTAAATTAATACGAACAACTATAAGGATATATTTTACCACATTTCATGTACATAATCTTCAAGTTGTTGCAGATGAATTATTGCACTTGTTCTCACACGTCTTTTCAATGCATTCCTTTTCAATTGAACTCAGATCAGAACTGAAGATCAACCCAAGGTTAAACTCGATTTCGAGGCTAATTTAGAAGAAGTGTATTCTGAATTATTGCCATGGATATAATTCCAATCACTGTTTCAGTTTCCGATTTCTAACTAACGCTTTCAAGTTGACAACCAATATTCCACGCTAATCCTTTTCTTTTGTCATTATACCATTAACTCTTACCAAGATTCCTGCTCATTTTGCAGAGAAATACCCACAAATATGGTATTCCTTCATTCATGTTTTGTTGCAGGGAAAACGTTCTGGGGATTGAAATCTCGCCATAAGCATTTCCAAACAAATTTCTTGTCATTAAGCCCCAAAAGAGTTTTTTCTCATCTGACAATAGTAGATTCTTTCAGACTGAGATCGGATTATCAATATGTTTACTTGCAAATACTAAACGAGATTTACAATTACAAGATTTTAGTAAAATGGCCTCATCAAAATAGTCTTACGGTTACAGCTGGCAATTTCAACAGTAAATCCAATCTAGAAAATCTTAAAATCGTTAAATCGAGTTACCAAAGAGGAAAGCGATATTTATTTTGCATTTTATACAGAAATGTGGCACAAGGCCAAAAAGTGGAATGAGGAAGAGGATTGTCTTTTTCTGTCTTAACATTAAACTTAGCTAGCCATAAACACTGACCCAAGCATGCCACAATATTTCTTACAACAAAACAACGCATTCTTACTTAACATTCTTACAGCATAATACCTCAATGTCACTATGAAGTCCTAATTAATCCCCATATATATAATTCTTGTTTAGTGGGGGGGGATATAATAATAATTTAAAATTCTAATCCCCAATGTGTACTTGCATATATGAAACAAAATCTATTTACAAGAAACTAAATAAAATAGTATCAAAGAGGAATGCTTATCAGAACAATTGCCATGAAAATATTTATAGAAAATGTACTGGGAAGTTACGTTATGTCGGTGGAAAAGTGATTGCAGCAGCGATGCCGGATCAGGACCGATGATATTGCAGATTCTTTTTGGGAATTTTTCAAGAATCTCTAGATACATATAAGAATCACCAGACCAGAGGTAGCAAGAATATTCAATGCATTGACGGGCACCCCGTGGCGGTGTAATGGTTAGCAAGTTTGTCTCGCTAGAACAATTACAACTGAGTAGGGAGTTCGATCCTCACTGGATGCCCCCTAATTTCGGCCTTGTGCCACATCTAAGCTACGCTTGGTAAATCACTATTCAATGCGTGGACGATGTAAAAGATAGATTCTGAAGAGAAAAATTGTTTAACACAATGAACGAATCGTCGAGTCTAATTTAGAATTAGATTTTCAGTCATTGTCATGAATAAAGTTTCGACAGTGACATTTCCAAAATGTCAAAGTAATCCTATTTTTTGCTATTCACTCTTAGAAAGTTTCCTCTTCCTTTTGCAGAGAAACATCCACAAAGTGCGATACTCCCGCCTCCATGTTTTGCTGTAGGGACAGTGTTCTTTTGGATTGAAAGAAAGCCTTATGTTGATATCTCCAAACAAATTTCTTTTCATTAAAACCAAAGAGTTTTGTCTCATCCGATGATAATAGATTCCCCTAAAACGAAATCAGCTTGGCAGTAGGTTCATTTTCAAATGCTAAACGAGGTTTCAAATGACAAGATTTCAGAAAAAAAAAGGAAAGAATTTTACGAATTCGGTATATTCGGAGAGCTGTCATGTGCAGGGTTCGTGAAATAATATTACTTGTTACTTTCACTCTAGCCGCTTCCAAAAAATGAATAATATTCTTCATTGTAATTGGGGTTATTTTCAATGGTTCTTATAAGATAAAATTCTACTTTGGTCGAAGGTTTCTTCTTACCACGTCCAGGTTTTTTCTTCCTACCACGTCCAGGTTTTTTCTTCCTACCACGTCCAGGTTTATTTGCAACTGCGTTTTCTCTCTCAAACTTTAGAATGATGTTTCGAAAAAATTATCTACATTATGACATGAATACTTTTTTTTTTATTTTAATCAAGGCGATAATGCTACTAAGATGCTAGGGGCTGCTCGGGGTGAAAGAGAATGAAAAATACTTTCGAAGGAACCGGAAAACTAATCCTAAACAGGAAACAAAGGATAAACGTCTATTCTTATTCAAAAGATCGGGAAGGATTGTAAACCGGGCGATAAATTAACCTCTCTACTCTTATTTACAACACGATTGAAATCACCAACCTAGATTCCTCGGAAAATATTAACATATTAATATTTATTACTTAATAGTTGCAATTTATACATTAGAAAATGATAATTGCCTTGTTTATACTTATCTCGTGTAAATTACTTTTGGCCCCAGTACTTTGTGTTCTAACTTATTAAATATACATTATAGACAGTTTTATGTGTGATAGAAAATGATATATACATTTCAATATTTCAGAACAATATTAGGCAATTGAATGACAAAATGGAAAGCGTTGCACAGAATGTTCGCTCTTTGTCATTCAATACTTGTATATACATCTGCTTAACACTGTCAACATGCCAGCTCGTTGATAAGGATAATCAGTGGCTGCTTAGGAGTCGGGCACCGGATTCATTTGCGGGTTGTCTGAACATGGCGCAAGGTGTAATGTATATTATATAGGAAATTAGTACATATTAGCGTTTGTATCGTAATACTCTTGGGGGACCTTGCATGAAAGAACTTTTTATTTGATCACTTCACATATTGCTTGTCTTGGTTTTTTTTATATCTTTTGACTTTTCTGTCTGGGACAATTTATCAAATATATATATATATATATATATATATATATATATATATATATATATATATATATATATGTAAGCAAATATATGGATATAAATTCGACAGTATTAAGAAAAATATATACGGAAAAAACAAACAAAAATCCTTATATACAATTATGCTGTTTTAATGTTAATATGTCAACGTCTGACGTTTCGGTCTAATAAACCATCTTCAGGACATATTCATAACTTATAACATTATCAATACAACATGACAAAGACGATGTACATAAGAACAAGACTTATCCAAACAGATAACTGAAAGTTTTATAAGATCAGCGCTCCGTTTAAAACATGGTCACGTTGTCATCACGTGGGTGACGCTGTGAAAACGTATTCCTAAAATTTGAGTATTTTGAATGAAAAATGAAAAGAATTTTATTTTGATCTAAAATTTATATGTACGCTTGTCGAGCATTAATCTTGCTATATATATATATATATATATTAGAGAAATTTAGAGAAATATTATGAAAAATTTATTTCCCTTTGTTGTAATAAGTCATTAGAGAGATATCTCTCCGGTAAACGGATAAGTCCAATTTGACCCGATTTTGTCGGTTTTGAGTCCTGACTTTTAAAGTGTAAGACTCAGTAGACTTTTGGACAAGATTTTGGATAAAAACACCTGCGTCTTATTCCGTCTTAGTCTATTTGTGTATTTCAGTGGTGCATTTATATATTTTCATGCATAACTCATTTTTAGAATCAATTTATTTGGGTTATTCTAGTCCTTCCTTCCATTATGTTAAGGTGTTAGTATATTATAGATATACTAATGTCTATAGTGGACCTTGGAGATTGGAGAAGGCGAAGGTATTTCTCGTCTTTCCGAGCACTCTGCTATATTGCACAACTGCAAAAATATTTTTAAAATCTTATCGTCCATAAACTAAAGGAACTGACACAGTTCCAATACTTTTCCGTCAGCGGTGTTGATTTTATTTTATATGTTTATACACAATATTGTTCTTTGCGTTTAAAATGGTTGACATGGATTGGAGAAGACACAAAGCTAAAGGAAAGATAGAAGTGATTAAATAAATGAAAGGGAATTGGGTGAAACACATCGCAAAAACAAAAGATAACAGTTGGAACAAAGTTTGCTTGATTGGGAACTGAATGGAAATGATCAGCGAAAAGATAGCGAGATGAGAAACAGGAGTTCGCTGGGAAGGCATGAATGGAAATTGCAATATTCTCCGCCATATTTTACCAGCAAACTTCTTTATTTCATCTCACTGTCTTATCTCCGGTCTTTTTCCATTGTGTTCTTAGTCGCCATGAAAATTTACTGAGAAAGCCTTTTTCTAGCAAAAGACGCACAATTACTTCTGTTGTTGTTACTGTTGATGATCATGATATATGCGTTTATGTATACACAAAAGTATATAAACACACAAAAGTACGTACACGGTGGATAAAGGCGTTGGTTAGATTCAGTGACAGGTCCCAAAGATTTGTGAGTTCAATACCTGGTTAAGGCAGTGGAGATCTTGGTGAGGGGAATTAACAGTAGATAACTGATGGTATCCATTAGACATGGCACGTGGAACTAGAACAGTCTACCCCAGCGAGCGAAATAAAAGGTTCAGTTCGACATTCCAACAACCTGAAGAAGGCCGGAGCGTACAACGGTCGAAACGTTGCGATAATATGGCAACAAAGATGAGGACAATAGTCCTAATAATGTAAATAGTGTACAAAAGCAATAATACGAAAAGAAGTCTTTATCAAGTGTTACAGCAAAGTATTCCTTCCAGTTGAATTAAGTCTAAGGTGATCTACAATCTCAATGGGCTGTGTGCTAGAGAATAAAATAAAGAAAGAAAATAAAAGAATTTAAACATCCAGCTGCCTTGCACGTATTTCATCATATATATACTTATTTCGGATATTTCATATTCCTATACACAAACCAAACACATATACATATATATTTTTTTACTTTAAACGTCATTTCTAGTAGATATTCATATTTGAGTAGACACCCCGTTTATTTATTAAACAGTATATTTATTTAATTTCGTCTACTGGCCTGAATGTTCGAGAAATCTTATTAAAGAAACATTTTGAAGAAAAGAGCGTAAATTTAACTTTAATTTCACGAAAATTTCAGGCTGGTAGACGAAAATAAATATATTGTTTAATAAATAAACGAAGCGCCTACTAAAATACGAATATCCATTAAAAATAACATTTAAACTGATACAAATCTGTCGGATTAATAAAAAAAAACTATTCTAATATATCATAATTGCGCGTCCACTACCAAGAATAGAACTCAGACCATTACAATATGACTCAAGCGTCATACCCACTAGACCAACGGGTCTCGGTGACGAAGAGGTAACATACTAGACTCGATATCACGCCAGCCCTTCACAAATTCCATCGTGTAACTCATCCAAGTCTACTTAGACCAACGGCCGTCCAGCGATTTCTGCATTCTGTTGAGGATTCTTCTAGACTCGATGAATTATGATTAGTCAAATCTTCCTAATAATTTCTCCCTATATATCACTGCTTGGCCCGGCTTCTAATACTCCGGATGGAGAGGCTTGGGGATAGAAGACGTAACTCAAGGGGCACAGTCCGTTGGTCTAAGTAAACTTGGATGAGTCATACGACGGAATTTGTGAAGAGCTGGCATTATATCGAGTCTAGTATGTTACGTCTTCGCCACCGAAGAAAAAACAATACTTAGTTCAGAAATGTCCTATTTACTTGCGGCTTCCTTTTATTGGTTCCCGGGGCGAGCTTGTGGCTAGGCGGATCTTGTCTGCTGTCCATCACTCCTATTTTTCTGCTCAACTAAGGATTCATTTTGCGACTCGTTCTGCCTTTCCCTCTATGCGTAAGGATCCTCTTCCTCCCCATCATGTTTCTTCCGTGATTTATTCTTTTAAATGTGGTTGCGGTAGCAACTACATAGGAAGGACTTCCCAACGTTAAGATTGTAGGATCAGGCAGCATGTCCCATTGCGAGTTCTTAATCCGGATGCCCGTAAGAGCCAGTTGGTTAATACTTCCGGGTCAGCGATCACTGAACATTTGATAAATTACAGGGATTGTGCGAAGAACTTCAGTCCGAATTGGTTTACTGTACTGTCCAGTTCGCACTCTCCATTTCATTTGAGGGCACTTGAGTCTCTGTATATTTGGTCCAGGGAGCCGTCTCTTTGCAAGAAAAAAGACTGTCTCCTTGGGCTTCACGTTATTAGACTCTAGTGTTTATCATACGTTCCCCTCACACTTCACATTTTTTTTTCCTTTGTGCTGTGCATATTCGCGCGATTTGAATTACACTTTCTTTTTTTCGTCATACCATTAATCATTTCATTTTGTAATGTTTTAATTGTATGTAGGGTGTTTGTGTCAGTCAATATATATTGCAATAATTGTTAAATTGTTCCCAGTCGACCCTGATGAGCTTGGGAACGAAACCTGTTGGTCTGTTCTGTAAGTGTTATCATCTCTTATTTTTTATTTTTCATAATGCCTTTAGGAAATAAATTGTATCTATTCCTTGCAATATTATGGTTCTGTACCTCCAACAATTTAATATATATATATATATATATATATATATATATATATATATATATATATATAGTCAGTTTACCCCAAGCAAGCTGATATTGCCACTAAGACGTATGTGTCTACTTGGAATGAAAAGACTTTAGAAGGAATCAGAAACCCAATCCTAAACAGGAACCAATGGATAAATCCTTACTCCTGTTCAAAAGACTGGGAAAGAGTGTGAACCTGGTTGAATAACTGATAAAGATCATAGAATGATAGGGCGCCATATTAACAAGTTAAATTAAATATATACTTCTATGGTTTATATCTTTTTCATTGATTTAAGACATTTTGTATTTAGCGTGTTTGCCGACATCCTCAAAACACATTATCATCAATGTTTTAAATAAGGATAGATATCGTAAATGTTCGATTGAAAAACAGCTGAAACTGTTGCAAAAATGAACCCGGAACATTTATTTTCGACTGATGATTATCAGTATCCTTCACGGGCTGCCAAGACAAAGAAAAGTTGCTGAATGAAGAGGAAATGCTTTTTTAGACGAACATGACAGGACAAAGAACCATGCTAGCTATAAAACTGACCAGTACCCCCCCCAAAAAAAACACAGAAAATGTCTGCTCTAGCCTGCAACTCAACATCCATCCATCCATCTATCTATCTATATAATTAGCTAGCTAGCTAGATAGTTATTATTTACTTGAGGAAACCTTTTTTTGGCAACGTGTGAGGCATAATCTTTGAATAATTGTGAAAAGAAATTCCAACTTTCCAAAAACAAGCAAAAGAACATTCATGTGACCTAAAGTCTAAATGAATTTGTCGAATATACATGTGGAAGAAATTATATCTCTATATCATAGTCGCTCGAAATTAAACTATAAAAAGTAAACGTTTCTCATTAAAAAAAATCGAAACTATTTCTTTTTTTCTCGTTATATTTTATTAACGAATGCCACGCACGCAAAAGGAATTTCAACTTGGCAGTTTGTTGAATTAATCTCTGTTATCGACGTTTCCGTGCATAGTTATCCTCTATCTTTAATGTTAAAATGGTTTCGCTGTAGATGTATTTTAAAAGATATCGTCTAGTGTGCAATAAATTCGACAGCGCGCAGACTGTTGCAGTTCAATTAGTTTACATTATATATTTTCATTCTGACGACAACAATAGTGAGAGTATACTTGTTTGTATTAAAGTTTACCTAATACAAGGCTTGATAACCACACAATCTAGAGAGATACTGGTTAAGATAAACAAGGTGCTTGATATGAGTGAAAAAAAATGGGTAGTAGGAAGCGAAGATTATGTGGATGAGAAGGATAGATAACGGTTTTAGTGTTCAGAGAAGCATCCTCGCGGGGGGGGGTCCACGAAGAACCAGTTCTTGGAGGCAAAGCTTTCTGGGTGAAACTTTCTTCTTGAAATACGGAAGAAATGTGGGTGAATCAATTCCGTGGAAGTACCATGGCCTGACCTTGGTGTTAAGGTTTAAACTGACGGAACTAAAGACTGGAATTCATCCGAACATTTGCCATTGAAATAGCGATAGTGATAGGCTTCCGACGTTTCCATTGCAAGTCTGTTCATTATCTATCTATCTATCTATCTATCTATCTATCTATCTATCTATCTATCTATCTATCTATCTGAATCTGTTTCAATCTTTCTATCTGATATGATACATAGACTCTATATATATCAAACTAATGGTAGGTAATTGAATGACAAAATACAAAAAATCTCTACAACTCCCTCCTCCTACATATATCACATCACTAAGAACATTATTTTAATCTGATTGGACGAAACACTTTACTTTGAGTTTTTTCCCATTTTGCTATTCAATTACCTACCATATATATTATTGAATGTTGGAACATTTTTCAGGACTTCTGTTCTCTTCATGAACCAAAGATTAACCTTGATTTAATTTTTAAGTTCAAATTACACAGTACAATCCAGACTTGTATCAAATCAGGCAATAATTCAAAATTCTTAGAAGAACAACAAAAATGAAGAGGTTTGCGCAATATACACTTGTCATAATTCTACAAAATGGATTTTACGTACACAAAATTATCATGTAGGATTTGAGTTGCTTATTTGAATAAATCTCCATTTTTTTTTATAACCGAGAATCCTTTTCTTAATAGCCAATTTGTATGGCGCGTCCGCTTGTCGATGATAGAGAAACAAATTTACATTATTGTTATTTGACAAATATTTGAAAATTGAAGACATTTTATCCAGAACCAGATGTTCCATTGCACGTTCGTCGAAATAACGCGATGCTTACAAATATAACTCAATTTACAATCAGCGTTTTCAAATTTATATACGACACATGCTGTAGGGTCACTTAGTACTTCATTTTTTTAATTTAAAACAAAGAGCCAAATTTTTGACTCGTGAAAACAATCCTTCATACAACATAATAACTACAATTTTTTTTCAACCAAATCATTCATTTTAAGAATGGAACAATTTTTGAATAGTTTCCCTCAAAAAAACAATTGCACCTGCTTGAATAGTTCCCCTTTAAAAAAACAATTGCACCTGCTTGTCTCTTTGTTAGTTTTGAATAATTTTATCATTCATCAAATGAAGTTTTTTTTAATTGCGCAGAATGCAATACTCTTCGACAAAAAGAATCGCGTTCTCCCAGTCACTGGCATGTTTATCTAAAAATAAATACGCTTAAATTCACCTTCATCAACGGCTTAGAGGTAGATTCTCCGACTGACGCCAATTCAGCCCGGTTTCGATCCTAGCTAAAGGCAACTTGATGTCTAGCCACACTGATGAGCTGTGATACAGCGAAACAGTCTGTCTGTGGACGACTATATGTATAAAGGCTAATTAAGACACAAAACAAAATTATGCCATCAAATATTTATTCAACTAAATATGAACCATTTTGCTGTACAACCTTTCTTCATTTTTCCTTCAACTTAAAAATTCCATCTTCCTAGAAATTCGGCGGTTTCTCGGCAAAGAACTCATTAAGGTGGTTTTCTTTTATGTCATCCAAAGAATTAAAATTTTTACCATTTAGATTATTTTGCAAGGACCTGAATAAATGAAAATCTGAAGGAGCAATCTCTGGTGAAATGGCGAGTTGTGGGTAATACATCCCAACCAAAGAAATTTGAGCTCTAGCACTATCCTAATAGAAAACAACACATTTCCTGTTCGCCAATTCTGGGCGATTTGCTTGAATTGCTGCCCTTAATTCGTTCAGTTGTGAACAGTACTTTTCAGAATCAATTGACTGGTTATTTGGCAGAAGCTCATAGTACAGGATTCCTTTTCAATCCCACCAGATGCACAGCATGACTTTCTTAGAATAAAGACCTACTTTTGAGGTGGCTAAAGTTGGTTCATGTCGCTTACCCAAGGACCTTTTTCGCTGAACATTTTTGTAAACCATCCATTTCTCATCACCCGTGAAAATTTGCTTTAAAAAGAGTGCATTTTCATTGCATTTATACAGCAAATCACAGATGAAATACGATCTAAAAGATTCTTTTCACTCAGATCATGTGGTTTCCAAACATCGTAGCAATTTGAGTGCCTGAAATTCCCTAAGTGATTATGGATGGTGGATTTTGATAAATTTTGTATTTCTAACAAATCCCGCGTTATGTAATGCGTGTTATTATGAATAAATGTCTTGATTTGGTCGTCATCTGTAGTGCAGGGTGTGTCTGAGCGTTCTTCATCAATAAGGTTACAATCACCAACTCTAAACTTAGCGAACCACTTCCGTAGAGTTCTGTCAGCTAAAGTCCCTTCACTGTACACAGCACATGTCTTTTGTGTTTGCCTTTACGGTAAAAAAAAAAAGAATCAAGTGTCTAAAATACACCTTATAATCTTCCATTTTCATAGGGATGCAAAATTGACACGAATTAAGTAATTTTAAACTTTCTTTCTCAAGAGATAGTTTGAAGTGTGTTCTAATCGGAAATGTAAGTATATTATATCTGTTGATAAATTTGACGTATTTTAACGTGTTGGATCATGAACGACTAAAAATCGGCAGGAAGTTTCCGGACAACTTTGAGTCTTTCCTTGCACTAAGTGCTGTAGAGTATTTTGGTGTTATCCACTAATGTTTGTTTTACGCTGATATTTATATTTTGGTCATCCATGATGGGCTATTCGATGTGTGCACGGATTGCACTGCGTTTCGACAGGTAACAGGTAAATGTTCTTGAGAGTGTGGTGTCTATGTGTCCGATGTAAGTGTTTAATGCTGATTTTATTATTGTTGAGATACAATTTCCCAGGAGGAATGAGAATTTATAGACATTATTTTTACATTTCTTTTTTTTTCTATTTTGTTTTTTTAAGGCTGGTGTTGTTGCTAACAATTAAATTTGATTTTTTAAACTTTTTATTGTAGATGATAAATCGTAGGTGTTTGCTCGGATCGTCGAATCATATGTATCAGCAAATTATATTTTAATTGCTTTTTCATTCTTCTTTTTTTAAATTGACTTTAATCTGGTTACGATATAATAAGTAAATGTTTTAATCTGATTACGATATAATAACTAAATGCTTTAATCTGGTTACGATATAATAACTAAAAGCTGTGTTTATTTTTGTCTGCATTAGGGAGGGTGTTTTGCGTTATTTTTAAGAAAAATTCGTTAAGGATAATTTTATTTTGTTCGTTGACGAAGATTTTAAGGTGTTTTTTAGGTATTGCAGGATGTCCGCGAACTTTTTTGTCTGTAGTGTATATCCAAACAAGTTTGATTAAAAATGATCAACGACATCTGTCTGTTTAATTTTTTATGGTATTTTTCCAATTGAAGAATTACACAGGTCAGGTAGACTGAGTCATTCTATCCTCGTTCCCTTCATATTGCATTGGCAAGGAGGAAGTTCCACTCAGGCAGCTGCTTTCCCAGAACTGTTGCATTGTAGAACGGACTGCCGAAAGGACGCTTCCCCTATTACTACAATCTTTACCTTTTCAAATCGAGGGTCAACCGTTATCTATCCTACATATCCTCATAATATGCACCACTTGCACCCCCCTTATATATATATATATATATAAAACTCATTTATTAAACCTCAACTCTGAGGGATGCTAGGAACTTTTATTGGATGAACAATTTTCAATGGATTTTTATTTATTAATCCGACATTTATTTTTTATCACTTTAATCGTCATTTTTAGTGGATACTCAAGTTCGGATAATGGCGCATTTTTTTCCCGAACAGGATTTCGCGAATATTCAGGCCGGTATACAAAAATAAATATACTGTTTAAAAAATAAATGGAGTGTCTACTCAAATATAAGTATCCGAGTATCCGATAAAAATAACGTTTAAAGTGGTAAAAACGAACAATAGTAAAATAAATAAATAAATACAGCTACTACGACTGGGTTCGATCTAAGATTTGGCTTCTTACTCCGGCTTAGACGAGTAATTCACATAGTAACTAAAAATATTGGCGTCTTCATATCTCTTTCCGTTTATATCGCTTGAGTTGCTTTGTCTTTTTAGTTAATACGAATCTGTCTATTTTTACTTTCGTATTCTGTTCATATTTATGTAGACGTTAGTTTGTATTCTTCAATTTTACCCCAACACCACTTGAGCGTCATGTGTGCAGTGAGAGAGAGAGAGAATGAGAGAGAGAGAGATAGAATGAGAGAGAGAATGAGAGAGAGAGAGAGAGAGAGAGAGATTCGCTTCCTCATAGACATTACGCCTCTGTTTTACTCTGACACACACACACACTCTCTCTCTCAAAAACACATCTCCTTTTTCCTTTCACGCGTATTTTTCCCTTCCCTCTAACATGCATACATTTTCTCTTTTTCTGTCAGGCACTTTTCTCTCTTTTATTTTTCTCTCCCCTTCCCTCACGCACGAATCTCTATTTCTCATGTCTACATTCTCTCTCTTTTTCACTTTTCTCTCTATCTGACACAATATATTTCTTTCTTTCTTTCTTTCTTTCTTTCTTTCTTTCTTTCTTTCTTTCTTTCTTTCTTTCTTAAAAAAAGAAAAAAAAAATTATTGTCTAAATATTCAAAAACACACATCTCCCTTTTTTTCTTTCGGGTACACTTCTCTGAATTTTTAATTTTTAATTTTATTTTACCCCTCTCTAAAATACTCTCATTTTCTCTTAGGCACTTTTCTTTCTTTTAGTTTCTCTCTTTTAGTTTCTCTCCCTGTTTCACAAACAAAGTCTCCATATATTTCGCATGTCGTCATCCTCCCTGTTTTCTTTCCTCTCTCTAGCAAACACGCACCCTCTCCTTATCTTTCTTTCATTTACCCACCCTTTCTCTCTCTCTCTCTCTCGGTCTCTCTCTCTCTCTCTCTCTCTCACTCTCGATCTCTTGTACTCTGTAATGACGCAAGTCAATTCGGTCACTAAGCAAGGTTTAAATAAATGTTCACAACAACTGGAGTTGACAAGTACTTCCGCTAATCATCAATGCCCTGTTGATACATTAGGTATTGATACGACGGCACCATTGCAGTGATTTTAACCATGGAAATCTGCTGGCTTTCTACGCTAAATGATTTGCATGTAGACAGATAAGAAAATAGGTGCGTGCGTGCGTAAGGTGGTTATTTCTCATACACATAACTCAGTTGGAGTGTGATGGCGGTGTAAAAATAAGAGATTACTTGTTGGGTTAGTATTAGCAAAAACGACTAGACGAATCGATAGCTGTAATCGGAAAGAGATTAACAAAAAATAGAAATATGTCTAAGCCTAGACTAGTCTGGCACAAGGTCCATGATCAGTGTCATTATATTAGAGATCTTATATTCATTCGATAAAAGCCACAATACATACTCAAGGTAGAGGGTTATTGAATAAAGTTGCCGTATGGACCTAAAATAGAGAAGTACAGGGATCAGCAACCTCCAGACACCGGGTCACTTCCGGCCCGCGATTAATATTTGTCCGCCCGCCTAATTTTTGTTCATTTTGTTAGTTGTTATCCTGTTATAACTGCAGTAAAATAAGGAAGCTTGTTTAAATAATATAACATTAACTTCGTTAGATTTTTTTTTCTTTAAACCTCCGGACCAACGTAACATTCTGGACGGAGCGGTCTGAGGGCGAGACAATTTATTATAGTACATTTGATATCATAGCCCTCCTCCAAGATACTGCATGGCTGTCTGACCGGTTACTTCGAAAAGGTTGCGAAACCTTTGTTGAATATTGGTTATAGAGGATAGATAAACTTAAATAGGTTGAGATTGTAATAATCAAGAAAGTATCCTTTCGGGAGTCTGATCCAAAACGTAGCGATTCTTAGGAAGAATCTGAGTGGAACTTTCCCCTTACCAATAGATTTCAAACAGAATAAAGATCATTCGACCCCGTGTACGTGGCATGGTGGGTCCTAGCTGTAAAGATCTGAACTGATCGAAGTAAAGACTGTAGCTTGTCTAAACATTCGAATTAGCGATAGGCTTCGTCTGTGGGAAAAAAGGCTTTTAGGATTAAAAATAATTGCCCACAAAACCGAGTAAACGCTTTAGAACTGGAAAGTGAGGACTGGACAACTTTAGCCTAAATATGGCAGCAATGCCCCATTTTTGGTCTTATCTAATTCTTATAAATTTCGAGAATGGTAGTTAAGTCCGGTACTTTCTGAAGCGGCACAAGTGACCATTTTTCAAGCGTCTTTAGCGATGGATCGTATCTATGAATTCTACTTGACGTCTGTAGTGAGTTTGGATCCCAACAGATGTTCCAGACAATAAGTCTTATTGAGAGTACAACGATTCATAATTGGCGTGAATTCAAGTCTAAATAAACACACACACAATAATAAATTCGATCGAAAGAGGTTTTTCTGCAAAATATTTATTTTTAGGCAAGACGTCTTTATAATTTCAGTTGAAAAAGTGTGACACAGTGGCACACTGACATTCGCACTTATTATATAGATTAAGTATTCCACATTGGGATGATAATAATAATAATAATAATAATAATAATAATAATAATAATAATAGGACTTGTAACAATTTTATGGGACTTTAAAATACACACATGCAGAACAATCATCGTGACATTCGTGATCAAAAACCACAAAAACAGAATGTGCTTTCTTATTGACATGGCAGTCCTTGCAGATTATAATGTATCTTTGAAGATCTTCAAAAAACTATCAAAATACAAGGATCTTGAAATGGAAATCTAAAAAATGAGGCAAACGAGGACATTAATAATTCCAGTTGTGGTCGGAGCCTTCGATTTGATTGGAAAAGTTTCCGATAGACTCATTGAAGGTATTCCTGATAGCCCATGCCTTAAAGAAATACAAAAAGAAATTGTTCTCACAAGTACAGCTCACACATCACGAAGAGATTTATCTATGTAAAATCTGTGTGATTTTACTGCTTTTTAAAAAATGATCAATGAAAAATGTTATGAAGCCATTTCTGGCATTAGGTCTCCGTTTGCGACCCGGTAAGAAATGGTCATATAACAGAAATCCAAGAAAATAATAAAAATAATAATACTATTTACTTATCTCTACTCAGAGTTTCAGATTATGAAATCAAGTCATTTTAAATTTATTTCTGTAATCTAATATTTTTCTTCAAATAGTTTTGTCAAAGATTACTTTGACAAAACTATTTGATTTTGTTTCTTGTTAAATATATTCTTGACGTAAGCATATTTGAATTTATTCAGAATGTAGGTATTATTATAATAAATAGTTATATATATAGTGACTTCGCCCACGCGAACGAAGATGTAGGTGTGTTTTTCAGGCCTGTTGAAAACTCTTGATTGGTGAAGTCTTTTAAACTTTAGCGGTATGTAGCCGTTTTTATAGATCAATAATTAACAATGACTTCAAGTGAATGAACCATGTAGAAAACTCCAATCAATATTAGAAAAAACGATAATAGTGAACTTAAGAAACCTATTTTCCTGAAAAAAATGTTTTAAGAGAAAGATTATATGAATTTCAACCGACAGTAATGTTAAATGTTCAGTCAATGAATGCTGAATATTTCCTTGTAAGGGAACGGCAAATCTTGACCTTTACCATACATGACCTTTACCATACATGACCTTTATCATACATGACCTTTACCATACAGGAGAAGCACGTTTTTCTACATTGACTGCTGGAAATGTTTGGTCTGCCAACGGTGTTCGTTGTTCTGTACATTTACGATAGTAGAGTCAGTTTATTTTTTTTATTCATTTGTTTTTGCTTCTTTTGTGGAGAAGCTTAGGATAATTCTAGAGGATTCTAAGATAGTGGATTTCATTTAATCCCGGGAGTCAACAGATTATCTTTCTCCTAACAGCTGGTGTCTTCTAGTTGGGATTCCAGCTTTTCCTTGAAAATGCACTCAACGGTATCTAAGCACTTCGATGTAGTTTAGTGGTTAGCAGACATCCGGCTTCGTGCCACCTCAATGTGGTGTACTTATTAGCAAACTTGTCTCGCTAGATCAATTACGGCTGAAGAGTGAGTTCGGCACTCACTGGTTGCCCCGTATATCCAGCTTTGTGACACATCTTAGGTAGGCTTAGAAAATCATTTTAGACACCTAGACCTCGAGTAATAGTTGCAAGCTTGACTCGCTATATTCATTTACGACTGGAATTCGTGTCTTATTAAGGTCAAATAGTTACAAAGGATTTTACCTTAACAAAATATGGAATACGTTGCAACCTCGGTTCTCGAGCGTCTCACATGTCGAACAAATCAGTTTTCGAAGAGAAAATTCGAGATGAAAATGCCTCGGTTATTGAACAAAAACTTCGGTTCTCGAACAACATTGTCGAACCGAGTTAACATGAACGGAATCATTTCTGAGTCGACCGCCATGTTATAGAAATTCGTGTGTTGTAGCGTGCTTTACTTTTCCAATTTTATTGTACTGTAACTTTTAACTCTACATTGATTCCTATTAGAAAAATAGTTTCGGTCTATGAACATTTTGGGTTATGAACGGCCTTCAAGAACGAATTAAATTCGTTAACCGAGGTTCCACTATGCATATATATATATATATATATATATATATATATATATATATATATATATATATATTATTGGTCAATAATATTCATATATATATATATATATATATATATATATATATATATATATATATATCTATCTATCTATCTATCTATCTATCTATCTATCTCTATATATATATATATAATCTATCTATATATCTATCTATCTATCTATCTATCTATCTATCTATATATATATATGTAAATAAATGGATAAATGGATCGTGATTACGATTCCAATGTAATAAATTATAACCATGGAATATTAGTGTTTTGAGCTTTTTATTGTATTATTTTATTTTATCATATATATATATATATATATATATATATATATATATATATATATATATATATATATATATACTAATGTCCCTTGAATACAAGGCTCAAGAGCCACTCACTGACGCATTTCCGGTAAGACGTCAGTGTGATAAAAAAAGCTCTCGACTATTTTATGGCTTTAGTGATTGGGGAGGTGGTGCAATTAAACTAGATCTCCTAACAGGCATTCGAGTGTTAAGTCAGTCATATTTTCTACAAGGTGAAACAAATCGAGTAAAAAATACATTAAGTACAGGATATTAAGATAGGATATGAGGTTGGTGTGACGGATATCAACGAAGAGCCGAGATCAAATTCCGGATTAGTCTGTTGCAATCACTTTCGCACCAGATTTTTTAGAAAGGCACGAATCCTTTACCTTCTTCCTACCAGCAATGGGTTAATTATCAAACTAGACTGGGATCTCTAGCCTTAGATGGCATCCAGGATAAGAGAAGGTAAACTTTAGATTTGAAATGCTGGAGAAGCCAATAGGGGGCTACTCCACTATCTTTCCCAAGGATGCACAGCAATTCAGAGATAGAGAAAATGAATCTGTGGAGAGCCATGGTCGCCGATGTCCTGGAGGGGGACATGACATTGAAACAAAATTAAAGTAGGTGATGTATTTCGAGATAGCTTTTTCTTATCTCTGTAGATTTGATATTCGAAGTGGATTTTTGAACGAATGACATTTTTTCTTTTCTCCCAACCCGCGCTGAAATTCATTCATCAATGACAAATAAGCTAGCCACCTGAAGAAATATTATAAGAACTAATTTAATGTTTGGTTCACCGAACATTAAAACAAGGTCGAATTAATGGCACGTGTTTCGTTGACTTACTCGTCTTTGGCAAATCCCCAGTTCGTGAAAAGCCTTGCTACTACTACTACTACTACTACTACTACTACTACTACCACCACTGCCACCACCACCGCCACCGCCACTACTACTATTATCACTATTACTTTCTTTCTTTCAACTGAAACTTAG